CATTCTTTGTAGTTGTGAAAAATGGGAAAAAGTGAACTTTGCAGCAAGAGGTGATGGGTTAAGAGAACTATGGGGGAATCTGGATGATGGAATTATACCCCCAGTCAAGCTGCGATTTCAGCACTTCAAGGTTGGGAGTTTCCTCATTCCAGTATCTGCCTGTGGCTCTGAAGCCCCTTCTCCGGCACTCCTCTCACAAGCTCACACCGGGAGCCTCAGGGCCCAGCGCAGCTCCTGCCGGGCAGGGTAGCGGGCACTTGGCTCAGGGTTGGGAAGCAGATGCCTGATAGACAGCTCAGAGCCCCTACATTTGTGCAGGGTGAAAAAACAAAGCTACCCCAAAATGCAAAAGATGATTTACCTCTATGGAGCAAATTGGACAAAGATCAGCATAAGGATCCGCTGTTAGTTGTCTGTGTCCAATTCAGGGCGCTACCATGAGCTTCAGAAGCTAGGGTGTGGGGAGTTGCCACACCCAGAGCAGCTTCAGGCAGATTTTCACATTGGTTATTAAAGAATTGTAGTGAATACAAAAATAATGGTTGGCTAGTAATGGATTCCAGGCTACCTTTTCTAACTGGTATTCTCCACTAGGATCCTGCACACACCTCACTTTCTGGCTTTCATGCCTTGTTGATATGTTTCCTTGACCTGCAGTAAGATTCTGTCTCCTTGTATGTCCCCATACTCTTCAGCCTTCAAGGGCCAGCAAAAAATATCACCTCCTCAATGAAGCCCTCCTGAATTTTCCCAGTGTTGGAGACATGACTTCCTTCTCTCAATTCCCAGAGCATCTCACGGCATTTACCGTGGATGGGATTTGCAATGTAGATGTAGCCATTGTACTTGAACATGAACTCCTTGAGGACCATGTCTGGTTCACTGTGTAAGCCACGCAAGTGTGTGAAGTGTCAAGACCCATTGAACGCACTGTGAGCTGAGGGTGGCAGCATGTCCCCTAGTGCTCACACAGCGCTCTGCCTACCTGCCAAGAGAATCCAGAACAGCAATGCTCTTGGCCTTGGTAAGGAGCCCTTGGAGCAGGTGGGGCTAAGCCCTCCACTTTACAGGTGAGGACCCAAGTCTCAGTGAGGGCATGTCATGCCTCGCCAGGGTCCCCCAGGCACTAAGGGCTGAGCCCAGGGACAGATGGGGGCTTTTGCTTCTGCTCCGTAGATCCCCCTACCTCAACCCAGAAGGCTTTCCAGATTTGGGCGGCCACAGTGCCCATAACGAGGCCACACTGACACCGGCGTGAGATTTGGGTCAGTGATGAGTCACCTGCTACTGTGCTCCCAAGAGACGGTTGAGACGTTTCTCCGCTTCAGTACGTTTTGTTGTCTGCGGGTTTTTCTGTCCTTCTTTATGGGCAAAGAAGAAAATGAAAGCAAGCTCTCAGACCTTACAGTTTGTGGAGCAAAATATTCAAAATATCATCCGATGCTGAGAGGACAAGAGTAAATAAATTAAAGGCCGTTGGCAGTGTCTTTAGGTCGTAGGTTCAGGGGGAGCGAGCTTCATTTTTTATTCTTGGGCTCTCTCCAAATTTTCCACAAGCCAGAAACCTATGTATAATGGAAGGAAGATAAACCCTCAAAAAACCTGTTACAGGATTTCAAAATTATAAAAAGCAGACATAGCGGATTTTGTCAGCAGGCTGTGCTTTTCAGCGCTGCCCACTTTCCAGGGCCGCTGGCAGGTCCTGACTTCTACTTTCGGACGAGTTCTGCTAAGGGGTGTGCACATGGAAGAGCGCTGGGCCTTCTTGTCTTAGTCTTTTCAAAAAGAAGCTGACAAGTTGTTTTTAAGATTGTTTTGAAAATTTCACACACAAGGTAAAATATTTCAACACTTTACAAAACCTAAAGGGGAAAAATGAGTCTCACTTTCTGCTTGGGGAAAAATGAGTCTCACTTTCTGCTTGTGATCAGGCTCCATCTCCATCCAGAAAATGTTTCAGTCCTGACCAGCAGTGAGATGTCTGATCTTTTACACATTTTTAAAAAGATCTCATAACATAATCTTTTACACTTTGCATTTTTACCTAATAATTGTGGTGCCCTCTTTGTATCTCTCTGATGCCCATTTTATTCTATTTATGGGCAGCATGTGGTTTGTTAATAGATATAGGTGTACTTATTATATGATAAATAGGCATAAATAATATAATGGAAAGTACCAATGGCTGAGTATTTAGGTTTCCTCTAGCTTCATTCTCTGCCAAAAAAAAAATTAATATGCCGTGATATGTGTTTCTCTGTGCATCTTTGTTTTTTTGGTGAAAGAACCAGGAGAGTTATTCCTGCAAGAGGAATTGCTGATTCACAGCTGTTGAGAATTTTGTAAGTTTGGACAGATATGGCCTCCAAAAAGGTCACCCGCTTACACTCTCCACCCCAGGTAGAGGCTTATTCTGCAAACCCTTACCAAGTTTGGAGAATATCTGTCCCTGTCCTAAACCTTGCAATCACCCACTACGCCCAACGTCAGTCTCTTCTGTCTTTGAGAATTTGTTTTCGCAGCTACAATCTGATTCATATTCATTCTTTTCATGCAAGTGAAACAGGAGGTGACATGGTCCAAGAAGTGTTTTCCAATTTAAGTCTCAAAAGTCAATCTCCATATTGCCCAAGTTGAGATAAAATAAGATTGAGTTGGATCTTCTAAACTCCACTGGACATTTAAAAATTTTTTTTTGTCTTTTTTAGAGTTTGATTCAGAAAAATACCTGGAGAAAGAGAATGATAAAATCAATGGTGGAATATATGATTTGGGGGGAGATCCTTCAAGATGGTGACTATGCTATTCCTCATCATATGCACACCCACTAATTTCTAATTCCTTATTCCTTCTGTGTTTATTAGTTGGCACCATAAGAAGAGCTTTCTCTTTCCACCTTTAATTATTAATTCATCTATTTTTACCAGTATAGATTCATGGGTCCTCATTTAATTGAATGTGCTGAAATTATTACCGCCATTATCTAGCTTGGTGCTCAAATTGCCACAGCGTTGCCTGCCGGGAATCTCATGAAGCGGATGTCACAAGTCCTAGAGATCTTTCTGGGCATCTCCTTGCTTTCTGCTGCAAAAATCACGTCCAGGTTCAGCTTCTCATTTCCCTGCCCTGCTCTGGGGCCAGACATTTCTCTAAGGAGTCCTGGTTCTTTTTAGTGGAGAAAGGTATTTAGAAACATCGGGTGTAGGGTTCATTCTTAGTCATTCCATGTCACTGTTTTGGGGTCCCTTGGCGGACGGGGCCAGGAAATATGTTTATGACACATACATACAAATGCGCACACACACACACACAAATTACCCCCCCCTCCCCTCCCCTTCCCTGATTTGGCTGCCTTTCTCCTTACCTGCTAACAGTCAGATATGACTCTGAGGAGTGAGGAGAACCAGAAAATTTTCATCAGGTCTTGCTTTTTTTCTTTTGTCACTTTAACTGTTTTGTTGTGGTCCAGCTACAATAAGCTACAAATATTTGAGCTGCGGAGTAGATCACAGAATGTGAAATCATTTTGCAATCAGTATCAAGAACATACTCACACCCCAGAATCTTCTTCATGGAAGGTTGCACCCTCCTGCGCTGCCCTGCCCTTCTCTCTCTTACCAGGAAATCACTGCTCTGCTTTCATTCACTATGGACTAGTTTGCATTTTCTAGAATTTTGTGTAAGTGGAATCACACTGCATGTACTCTTTGAATTCTGGCTTCTTAGCATCATAATCCTGAGATTCATTCGCATGGCTGTGTGTATAGCCACCCGTTTCTAGTCCATTGCATGGCTTTCCACAGTCTGCTGGTCCAGTCACTATCCCAACAGACTGGCTTGTTTCCAGTCATTGACTACTACACGTAAGCCTGCTTTCGTGTCTGAACACTTACATATCGGTCCTTGGTGACCGCAGATTTGCATCATTCTTCTTATGTAAATACTTCAGAGCAGGAAGGCTAGATCACACGGGGAGTGTAGGCTTAACTTTTTAAGCATCTGACAAAATAGTTTTCCAAGGTGGTTGTACCACATGCTATGACTGAAAACCACTGTATTTTCAGAAAAGCAGCGTGAGTCATGATGTGCTTTGGAAAGGAAGCCAACAGATCAGGGTTGGATTTCTGGAGGAGAAAGTTTTCTTCTGGAACCTTGGGCTGTGGCGCCTCTCATGCATCTTTGAAACATACTTTCTAAAGGTTTGAGAGAAAATGCCAAACTTCAAGACACCTTCCTTGAAGGGAACAAGGTTGTTGTTCCTGGGTCACGTAGGGTAGGGTTTTAAAGAGATTCAAAAATGAAAACAGCAGCTGAGATTTACTCAGTCGGTTTGGAGGTCCTTTGAATTAGGAAACTAACTGCCATTTCTTTGGTAAACAAAGCTAAGGCTTCCTTTCCATGCTGGATTTAGGGGACAGAGAAAGTAGGGTCTATTTTTCTGCCTGCAGCTTGTAAATGGAGCCTCCGGCAGGTGCTGGGCTGCTAGGCCCCTTGGGGAGAGGGCCTCCCTCCTGCCAACGCCTCCACCCCCAGCTCTTGCCACTGGTTGCCCAGAGGCACTTCCCCTGTAGAGTATGGGCCCAGAATGTTCCCAAATCCACTGCTGTCCTGCCATTTTTCGGAGTCCCTTGATTGACCATATGAGTTGAGAGGGAGTGGTGGTCAGCAAATCAGACCCTGAAGGAGGAGCGGAGTCAAGGGAAAAGGAGCTAATATAAAAAGGACACACTGGGGAAAATGTTCAAGCTCAAAGGACACTCAAAGGAGAGATTTTTTTTCCATTTCTGTTTATATTCAAGATGATTTTGAGCTCCAGGATATTTGACTTCTCATAAGTATAACACAGACTCTAACTCTTGCGTGGGTTTTTTTTTTATTCATGAGAACAAACAGTTTTAACAATTTATCTCCACCTTTACATGGTTGTTGGTGTTCATTTATAAGCCAGACCTCCTTTTGATTTTTGCCCTCTCTTTCTAGAAGTAAGTTTGCATCTGATCCATCATGACAGACACGGAAATCATGGTGAGTATCCCCTGCTCCCCAGGCCCATCCAGTGCACTTTTGTCTTGCCTCTTCTGGGGCTGGGGAAGGATTTCTTCCTGTGGGTTCCTAGTGTTAGATCTGCAGGGCAGCGCCCCTCGCAGGGCACAGGATGCCCATGAGGAGGGCTTTACACACACGAAGAAGGGCCAGGATGCCTTGGGGTGGGTTTGTTGTGAAGACAGAGGAGAATGCTACTTTGGATTTCATTATAGATGAATAATTAATTAAAACTTATTTTAAAATAATTGAAAAATAATAAATGAACAGAAGTATTTATTTATTAACATTATGAATAGGTAAGGTCTTTAACTAGGATGCACTAACTTTAACTTGTTCCATGTATCTGCTCTGAAATGCAGATAAATAAGGCAGAATCCATTTCATGTGTTTTTTAAAAACCACAGTAAACTTCATTAGTTGTTTTTTACCAAACATGTAGCCTTTACAAAAGACACACGGTAGTATATAGTTCTCTGAAAGAGACAAAGAGGTTAACAAAAATTGGTGGTTAAAGTCATCCAGGGAATCATTTGTGGTTTTATAACCAAATGTAATCAATTACATCCAATTCCGGTGCTTCTTCGATAGTCATAAATGCCTCACCAAATATCTGAGGGTTTTAATTTTGCTTTTCTCAGAGGGAAAGTCTGGGTTTTACGTGTACACAGTTGTAGTGACGCCTCCTTAGAGGCGCCGACACACTGCCCTTCACAGCACCTCGAGTCTCTATGGTGTGTGGAGAGCGGTGACTGCAATCGCTGAGGTCAAGCACATCACTGATGACATGCCAGCGATGCTAAGTATTGCACGTATTGTTATAGAGCCATGACAACTAAAAATGTACTAATTTGGACCTGGTGAAGTAAGGAGGCGAATCTCTTTTTTTCCTGACCGGATGCCCCCTGTTGTGCTGGGAACAGAGCAAGGCTGGGACAGAGCCAGGGGAGTGTTGGAGACTGTCAGTCATTCTGTATTCTCAGTTGGAATCTTGGGAACTTCTAAACTCAGGGAGGCAACCCCAGAGAAGAAAACGCACCCCAATAATGACCTTCTGTGATTAGGTGTCTAGCACCTCCTCCATCAGAAAAAGTCAGGAGCTCTGAGGTGTGGACTCACACATTCGTTGGGAAATAGCCATGACGTCCCAGTAGCCACTTCTCTGAGGACGTGTTATGGAGTGGTCACCGCCCAGGGGTCACATTCCTTCAGCCTCCCAGAGAAGGCAGAGCTGCGTTTATAGACAAGGAAATTGAGATGGGAGAGTGGCCTGAGGGCTCCAGGTCTGCAGCTAAGTGGAGGAGGACCCCTGGAGGGGGTGCTCACTGCTCAGGCTTCACTGGGCTGCCTGCTGGGGTCAAATGCAAAGGCTCCCTGTTGCAGCTCACTGCTTCCTCAAGTGTGGGGACGAAGTGTATTAGCAGCTGCTCACAGTGGATTGACCTCCCTTCCTCCATCTCCCTCTCCCATCCCACCTCCTTTTGTGGGGAGGGCACAGCCTTTCTGGACAGTCTTCACCCTCTGCCCTGCCTTCGTCCCAGAGATGGGAATGGTGCCAGGCCTGGAGCTGGTGGAGACTTACCAGAGATAACAGGGATCAGTAAAGAGGGGGCCCAGAAAGCTCTGAGACCTTCTTCTGCCAACCCTTGATGCTTAGGGCTGCTATTTCTGAGCCCAAAGTCTCCTGCAGGGAGCAGACACACGGGCACAGGAGCCACAGCCTGAAGGTGAGAGCTCTGCGGGACTTGCCCTGGCTGTGTGCTGCGGTTTGCCCCTGTTCTAACCGAGGAAGCCGCAGGCATCCTCTGGAGGTGAAGGTGGGGCACCCAACAGCTGTCGTGACTGGGCTTCCTGAGGTGGGGCTCAGGGGCCTGGCACCCCAGCTGGAGGCTCAGATTTGGTGTGGCCACTACGAGCATCAGAACATGGAGAGCAGGGCTTTGGGTCAGGAGGGACTAAAGGTGCCCCCTTGACCTCCCCCTAGTATCGGAGGGCTTTGGGCAGCCCCTCCTATTCCCCCGGGTCTGTCTCCTACCCCGCAGTTCCTATGATCTCAACATCATGTAAAACCCCATTGAGGTTTCAAATAAAATGTCCAGAGTCAAAACAAAAACCTGCATGGCCTCTGGCCTCTCATATTGTTCTCAACGTAATGGCATCCTGGGTTTCCTTACAGAGTCCCATGCCCGATGAGTTTATGTACAGCTTTGCAGCCACTGCGGATGACTACATGAACGACACCACCAGCTACTTCTGCCATAAAGACCACATCAGGCAGTTTGCAAGCAAAACTCTCCCACCCATCTACTGGATCGTGTTCTTAATCGGTACCCTGGGCAACAGCCTGGTCGCCCTCGTCTACTGGTACTGCACGAGAGTGAAGACCATGACCGACATGTTCCTTCTGAATCTGGCCATCGCCGACCTGCTCTTTCTTTCCACTCTTCCCTTCTGGGCCATTGGCCTTGACGGGTGGATATTCCAAACCTTCACGTGCAAAGTGGTCAACAGCATGTACAAGATGAACTTCTACAGCTGCGTGCTGCTGATCATGTGCATCAGCGTGGACCGGTACATCGCCATTGCTCGGGCTATGAAGGCACAGAACTGGAAGAAGAAAAGACTTCTCTACAGCAAAATGGTTTGCTTTGCTGTCTGGGTGTTAGCGACTCTGCTCTGCATTCCAGAAATCATGTACAGCCAAATCAAGGAGCAATCCGACACTTTCATTTGCACCATGGTCTACCCTGGGGATGAGAGCACCAAGCTGAAGTCAGCTGTCTTGACCCTGAAGGTCATCCTGGGGTTCCTCCTTCCCTTTGTGGTCATGGCTTGCTGCTACACCCTCATCATTCACACTCTGATACAAGCCAAGAAGTCATCCAAGCACAAGGCCCTCAAGGTCACCATCTCTGTCCTCACCGTCTTCTTCCTATCTCAGTTCCCTTACAACTGTGTTCTGGCGGTGCAGGCCATCGATGTCCACTTTGGCTTCATTTCCAGCTGTGCTGCTTCCATCCGGATCGACATCAGCCTCCACGTCACTCAGACCATTGCCTTTTTCCACAGTTGCCTGAACCCTGTTCTCTACGTTTTCGTGGGTGAGAGATTCCGCCGGGATCTTGTGAAAACCCTGAAGAAACTGGGCTGCATTAGCCAGGCTCAGTGGGTCTCTTTTACCCGGAGAGAGGGCAGCTTCAGGCTGTCATCCACGTTGCTGGAGACAACCTCGGGAGCGCTCTCCCTGTGAGGGGTCTCCGCGCTCATGTGGCTGGTCCTTTTGGAAGTAACGAGAAATAGAGATGCAGCTTCCACACTGATGAGACCAAGGAAAACCCAAGGAAATGAAAAGAAGTAAAAAAAGAAAACAAACAAACAAACAAACAAAAAAAAACCTCAGATGGGCCTGGAGTTCAACATTTGTATTTCTAGTCAGAGCTGTCAAGCCCTCCGGCCACCTCAGCTGCCTGCTGAGCCCTGAGGATAGTATGCTGCAGTACCTGCCTTTTTCAAAGAAAGACTAACGTCACTGCGGCCGCTGGCTGAGCACTTTGCTTAAGCATTAATATAACCGACTCTAGCAGAGGCTTTCATTTTCTCAAGACACTGTGAACTGCTGTGTTTCTGGTTCCAATGTCACCCATTCCAAAAGCGGTCATAGAAACATCGACGACCACCATTGTCCACAGAAACACCAGGTTTCAGGGAAACATCCATCCACCAGCAATTTCCATCTTGGTTTTGGGAGCCGGATACCCTTGCCGGGTCACACAGATTCTTGATCTAGAATCATGCCAAACCATCTCAAATCAAATCCCGCCCCCTTCCGGTCTCCTGGGTCAGTCTGGGCCATGTTGCTGGAGAGCCCTCATTCTGTTTTCAAACTGGGCTGGTCAGTCACCCCAAGGCACACCTGCAAGTCATCAGGATTCTGCTGCCTGCCAGCCCAGTTGTGTCCCCCTGCACATCCTGTGAATTCACACCTGGCTGCAGGGTTGACCTGGGAGGTGCTTGTCTGCGGGGGTAGTGGCGGTGCCCCTCTCAGCCTGCCAGGGAGACGAAGAACCAGCTTTCGTGGGGACCGGCTCTGCCACAGGCTTCCTCATCAAGTGGCTTTTGTGATGGACTCTGTCCCTTGTGACATGGAGGGTGCCAATGGCCAATCTCAGCTCGGAAGAATATTTGTCTCCATGCTTCTTCATTCTTACTGTATAGTGTTAGTATGCTAAGAGGCTTTCAATTTAGAGATTAGAGATTTAGAGATTTTCAATTTAGAGATTAGATTACCCCACACCCCCCAAAATAATCCACTTCATTCTTGCTTTGTCTTCTATTTGGCAAACTTATCACATCTTAAAACATTTTATGTATTAGAAAAGTGCTTTTTAGTGATAACTGAACAATAACCATGATTTACCACTTTCTTCACTTTTCTCTATATTTTAAGTGTATACAATTATAGATTGAATAGCCATATTAGGATTAGGAAGAATAGAGACTGAGATAAGGAAATAAAATCTCCAAAATACCCTAAAACCACCTGTCTGACCAGTCTTTATTGCACCTCTACTCACACTCACTTCCCAAGTTTTTCCCTTTAGTCCAGTGGAATCTTCCAGAAGGAACACCAGAGCAGCACCATAACCCACCCCAGGTTTGCCACTTGCTCCAGAGGAAGCAGCATCTGGTTTTTCAGTGCATTGTGCATCACCGTGGCTTCAGTTCCAATGAAACCATCCCTTCTAAAATGGAATACAAAAGCACTGGACTCATGCTTCTTTGTCCCACCCATTTCTAAAGCACAAGTTAGTGAGAAATAAATTAGCAGCAAATGGGCAGCAGCAGGGAAGCAAAGGGAGTGATACAAAGACTTTGCTGCTTGTGTGTGGGTGTCGGTGGTAAATAAGCTTCAACCTGAGACAGCACATCACAGGCCCCCGAACAGCAAGTTCCACTCATCATCCCAGGAGGATGTGTTCTCCAAAGCTGGGCCATGAGTGTAGCCAGCCGTGTCACCACCATTTCCAGGAGACCCAGACACCTTTTGAGAAGGTGGAAGAACAAGCAGCAGAACAGGCCAAACCTAAATAACATTGTGCAATTAGGCAGAAGATCACATGAGTTTGCCTTTCCCATGCTGTGCTTACATGTCACGGGGGTTCCAGCGACACAGGATGTGGGAGGGCTGGCAGGCGGAAGGGGTGAGCTAAATCGTGCCAAATCCAGTCTCAGCCTACAATCACTTAAAGAACACTATGGTGCAGATTTAGTGATGGTGAATAGGATTTTGGCCAATATATGTTAGTTGGGGGGAAAAATGCCAGGGACGCCACCTTTTTCCCTCTGATTTTTGAGAAAGGAGGCAGGAGTATCACACCTTAGGGTGCACTCTTCACACGTAGTTCCAAGGGCTTCCTGCAGGGTCAGTCCCACTGCTAACACAGTTTCAGTGTAAGATTAAAGATGTATTGCAACTGTCATATTTTAAAGATGTTAAGAAACTTTCGTTGGCAAGTTGTCTTAGCTTATAAATGTTGAATAAATAGGACCATTTTGCATTCAATTAAGGTAGGTTTCAGTAGTAGATTAATTCTAAAATTAAAATGTTGGTAGAGTCAACATGGGGAAATCATAAGGAAGTTGTGACCCACAAGCATTTCTAGAAATTATGCTGTGCTAGTACTTTAAAAAACAAAGATAAGAGATGACAATAGCATCTGATGATATGCATCAAAAAAGTAAAAAAAAAAAAACCAAATGAAATATGATGTGCTTTCATTATTAAAGAAATTGGCTTTTTTGCTGATTTTTTTTTTTTTGCCAATTTTGGTGAACATATCATAACATGCAGATTTGAGTGGGGATTATTGTTTTGAAGCAGTTTTGTGTGACTAGAGAGTTACTCTTTTTGGACTGGCTTCCAGGTCATCACTCACTCAGCAAACATTTGTGTACACACTATTAGCCAGTCCCTTTCTATGCACTGGGCTTATGACGGGGATATATTAATCCTTTCTGTCAAGACACAGGTACTCTAGGGCTTTGGAAAAGCCAAGCGCCATGTGGACTCAGCTGCTGGACCCTGTCAGGGGGTACCCCCTGACACAAGGCTCAGACACCTGTTTCAGGACAAGCCACACATGGAGTGTCTTTGGGTGAGCCCTGTGTGTTCTTGACCTCAGGGATGTGCCACACACATGCACCCCACATGGAATGCTTGTCTGTAGTAGACACAGCATGTTGAACTAATACTAATACATTTGGTAAATTTAAAAGGAGTCAATTCTCAAATTTGCACTCCAGGGATCAGAAATCAACTTCCAGAAAACTTCAAAGAAAATATTGGCAACCTTGAGCAATGCTACAGTCTTTGGGTAATAATGCCATCATGTTCCCTCCATGCAACTTGAAAGGAACTGGTGGTCAAGGGGAGGCTGGGGGGAATCAGACTGGATACCAGCATCTTCTTAACTTGACAGAGGCTCAAGTTACTTCCTGCCAGAAGTGTGGTTATAATCTCTTCCACCTGCCTGTAACAGTTGGTACAAACAGTCCTGTGGAAGGAAGCAGCCAGCCCACAGTGAGATCCTTGCTTTACCTCATCACCCTTCACTGCACACTATGGGGCGATCCCCAAGTGGTGAGGTGGCCTCGTAGTGTTCCACGATGGGTTAAGACACATCAGCGAGGCTGCCAGGAAGAACAGCTTTGGATGGCACCGTTGACTCTCTGCTTCAATAAGTAAAAAGTTGTCTCATATTTCCGGATGGTTGCTTTGTTTCTGTGGTCTTTGACTCATACCTGTCAAAGTCTGTGTCAAGTGTGTGGTCAACTTGGTTGTCCAGTTCTGAGTTTGCCTCGTTAGTTGGAGCTCCCCATCAGGTCCAGGTCAAAAGATAGGAAAACACAACTCTTGCCCCACCCTGGCTGGGGGCCAAGGCTCTCTGTCCTTCAATCGATTTTACTTCTCTCCACGAAAGCTATTCTTCCTCCTACATGCTGGTTTGCTGGTCTCAAAGTGAGGTCTGGTCAAGAGGCTCTGAATGACTTTGAAAGAAGAGGGAGTAATCATGGCCTCCAGCACCCACACCTTGCACATTTTAGATGCTCAGAGGAAATCTCTCTCTTCATTCAATAGTTATTGATAGCTCGCTGCGTGTGATTGATGAATACCACGACGTGAGCATGATATGCACAATCAAGACGGTAACGTGCCAGTCTTTTTTGGTATCCCATATGCTGCTCCTGTTACAGTCTGTGCCCAGCAGCCTCTCGGGACAGGGGGTGTTGCTCGAAGACTTTCTATTTTATTGGTACAGACAGCTCACCATCGCTCTTAATGTCTTTCATTGACATTTGTATTATAAAAACCTACGAGAAGCATGCAAATGTGTCTTTCCCACTTGTGACTCTTCATGAGCTCCTCTCCACCCTGACATGCTTACTTGTTACACTCTGGTACCACCAGCTGAGCAGACCACTGTGGTCAAATGGGGATAGACCAGCTGCATCTCCCTTCAAGGAAGAACTTGCAGGACTGTGGCCAGCTTGTGGTCCCCAGCTGCCGGTCCCTGCAGGGTAGGCCTGCCCCAAACCTTGTCAGTCAAGGCCACCTGCATCCTCTGCACAAAGGCAAGGCTAGAATGCACCAGTGGGACTGGGGCAGCTGAGGAACCATGTCTGCTCTGTCCCCCAGGTTGGCCAGGCTTTGTCAGGCTGACTGAGGTCTGCTGGGCTTGCACCACAGTTTGCTTCTTTCACTGCCAATGCTACTGCCTCTTGCTTCCCCTGGTGGGTGTTGATCCCTAATAATCATCACTAGTACGCACTCCAATCTTTAGCTCAGAGTTACTTCAAGAGAAGTCAGTCTGCACCATCTCTTCATTAGGGACCTCCTACTCCAAGAGCCATTTAAGACCCAATGGGCAGAGAGGTGGGTGTCCCAAGCTGCAGAGCGGGGTGAATGTCTGTCACAGAACCCTTGCCAGAGGCTGGGCACACAGGCCTGTCTGATCTTAGCTCAATTATCACAGATCTTCCTGACCGTCAAATGTGCAGGGCCAAGACCTGGGTGCAGGTCTCCCATCAGGACCTTTCTGCACCTTCCTGTTCGTTTTTTTACAGGTAGATACCATAATTAAATTCATCCTATGGGTGAAGGAGCCAGACACAGAGTTACGTGAAGCCCACCCAGTCACGCAGTTAGTAACTGGTCAGGCTAGGACACCCTGGGTGTGTTTGCCCTTGAACATTGGCTTTGGTCCAGATGCCATCCTGCCTTGCCTGATGGGGTCAGACAAATCATTCATTGCTTCAGAGGGCC